CGGCGACCTGCCACAGGCCAAGGCCGGCGAGGGCTGGACCCTCGTCAGATCCAGCGAGGGTGGCGACAAGGGCGGCACTTGCCCAAGCCGTGAGCCGCCCTCGCCGGATCTAGCAAGGGCGGCAACGAGGATCCAGCCGCCGGTGCCGACGACCTGGCCATGGCCAAGGAAGGGGAAGAAGAAAGAAAAAAAAAAGAAAAAGAAAGAAGTATTAAAAAATTCAAAATATCATTAATAAAAAGAAATTTTATGTAATTACCAAACGCATTTTTGTTCTTTTTTAATTTCAAGAATAGAAATTTTGGGCAATTACCAAATGCCTTCAAAATGCTTAGAAATTGTTCCTAAGCACGGAATAAAAAAAAATCATTTCTGAATAGAAATTATTTCCGGGAATAGGATTGTTGCTAAACGCACCCATTATTTCTGGGAACATAATGGTTGCTAAATATTAGAGTAAGAGTGTTGTATACGGACCGTGTTTTTTGGATTAACTATTATTCATTTCGACAAATTACAATCTTTATGGTAGTATATACACCTTGCCTTGATTTCACAAGGTACGTGTTTTTTTGACTTTTACCATTTTTATTTGAATCCCCACATTAATACTAATTCAATCCGACAAGTCCAATTCTTAATCGTGGGTGATGCAACGTTATCAATTAAGGATTGTCAGGTCGGATACTAAATCTACCCATATAGGCCCCATGTCTAATTATAACATTCACATAAAATCTTCAGCCTTTGGAAAATGTGAAGTTGCGTGAGAATTACTCGGGAAAAGGACATTTAAAAGCATAGCTAGGTCAATTTAGAGTTCAGACCACGCAACTAGTGCGGTACGAAAAGGTAATAATCATATGATATTACCATTGAATATTGCGTCATGTAATTATAACATAGGTAATGGAAAACCTTAGTGCTAATATGACCAAATTGTGCACCCACAAAGCAGTCAATTTCTACACCCAAAAACAAAAAGAAAAAAATAAAAAAGATTTTCTCCCTACGCGCTCAATCACTAGGCTCACTGATTGCCATCTTTTGCACATTCTTGAGATTCGTTACTGAAAAATTAAACATCTGAAGTGACATGCCCTCGGCGCAATTACATTATCACCAGTTGCCGACAGAATTCATTAATCAGTAATTGCAACAGCTAAAATAACATAAAAGATTGTGTATTTCTACTTTTCATTCTGGGTTATGTTTTTTTTTTTTGGTGTAGCAAATTCAATTTAAAGCTAGCTTGTTATGAGTTAGTGATTTCCTTTCCTACAGGGTTTCACAAACCGCAGTAAAAAGGCCAGTTCAAAATTTGAGATTTTTTGCTGCGACTCCCCAGGGTATTCTGAAGCTTCACGAAGGTGCAGCTCTCATGGCACAATGGGACAAGCATCCACACATCACTCTTCTCATGCATCTGCGAATCATAGCTTAAAAACTTACATTATGCAGTGTAAAATATACTCAATCTTTGCGCAAAAGCCGAGTTAGGTACATGCTGTGTAAAATTTAATTTAATTTTCGTAGAACAAATTACTATTCCTAATCCTCTAAAATTCTATTACTCTTTTGAAATTGGTGTGGGGCACCCCTTTCATTGATTGTACTTTTTGAAAGTTTTAGGACTTGATTATATTTCGTGATAAGTTTTAGAACTTAATTACACTTTTTGAAAGTTTTAACACTCAATTACACTTTCATGACAAATTATCCCTATTGTAAAAAGGAGCAAAACCTGTATTTCAGTCCCTTTGTTGAAAAACCAAAGTCACTATTGTCTTCATCTCAGTGATTCCTGTCCTTTGAAGATGGTTTCCACCTCTCAAAAATACATCCCTGCTCGATAGGTTTCCATCCCATCACCAATGTCAATCGGTGTTGTTCACTTCCCCGCCATTCTCGTAATGACCGCCTGTTGCACAGGTGTGTCCACTGTCCACCGCCTGTTGCAGACGATAAAGAAATGCATTATCGACGGCTTTGATTGAGAATCAGATCTGCGAAAGTATTTGCTCAAAAAAATGGCCGAGAGAAATGGGGACTAGAAGCCTTGGCGGCATCATCATCAACTTGTAGCTTGTTTTGTTTCAATTCTCTTTCACGTGTATTGACTACTAGGTTGAACACTACTACTACGGCGTGTGGGGCCCAGTAAATTGACTCGGCGTTATGATTATGGCAAGTAAAAGGGTCAAATTCTCGGCATACAAGGGTGGGAATAAGATTTAGATAAATTTTCATTTTTAATCTCCACACTGATGCAGATTTCTAATCAAGTGGTTAGACTTTTAATTCGTCTAATCAAATTATTGAATATGCACAGGCTTTCTAATCAAGTTCACATTGCTCCAAATCCGATTAGTTGGAGTTAACGTATTCGTCTGAACCGGTTAGAGTTTTGACGTGAAATAAGGAATCGTGACTATCGAATTCTATGAAGGTACTTTCATTTCCTTTTATGACTACTTAATGTATACATCGCAACTATTGAATTCTATTTTGGTGAATAGTAGAATACTAGTTGATTTTAAAGCATGTCTTCATACTTTACTAACGGCTTCTGCGCATGTATTGATTTTTCTTCATTTCTTGGATGATTGGGTGCGCATGAAAACCATTCTGTTTCTCTGTTTTTTTAATTTTTCTGTTCCCGGAAACATGTTTGAAACAGAAATCCGTTTTGTAACGCAATTTCATTTTTCTATTTCTGGAACAAATTTCTACTCCAGAAATAGGTTTGGAATAAAAAACAAAAATAAAAAAAATTTACTTTTCTATTTCTGGAACACAAATAAGAAATAAAAACTCTTCTCATCGCTCGCGCCTCGCTACTAGCCGGCTGCCCACCCGCCGCCCACCGTCACCATCACCCGCCTCTCGCCACCATTATCCATTATCGGCCGCCTCCCACCACCGTTCGCCGCCACCCACCGGTGGCCATCCACCGCCGCCGCCCGTCGTCCTCCACCACCACCCGACGCCGTTCGCCTCCCACCCTTGGTCGCCGTCATCCACCGCCGTTCGCCGCCACCCGTCGGCCACCTCCTACCATCCTCCGTCGGCCACCGTTTGCAATCTTCCGCCGCCGCCGCCTACCAGTCGAATCTTTCCACCGGCTGTCTCTCGTTGCCACCCATCGTCCTCCGCCGTCCGCCACCACCCAACGTCGACCACCTCCCACTGCCGCCTTCTGCCACTGCCCGCTCACGGACCATCTCCCACCGGCCGCTGGGGATGAAGAAATTTTGTGTCATTACCGAACGAATTTTTATTTCAGAAATAGAAATTTTGTATCATTATCAAACGCGTATTTTGGCAAAGAAACTCGTCCATCAAATAGAAATAGAAAAATCTATTTCTGGCCAAAAATTGATTTATAGAATAGAATGATTATCATTCGCACCTTAGGTTCTGATTTATCAAGTACCTACAAGACTTGCTTAAGCATTTATGGTATTTGACTTAAATTTTCGTGTCTTTTTTCGCTTTTTTTAATCACATAATCTACAAACAGATAGTGGGTTCGAAACACCCAACACAAGTATTGACTAATCCCATGACTGTCTTGTGTTATAAACTACACCAAAACGAGGGAGAACTCTGATCCGTGACAAGAATCCCACTTCGGAGGGTAGGTCCCTGCAAAGTGATAGCCACCAACATTGGCGAGAGAAAATCTACACGCTATGTGTAGGGAAATGTATACACTTTGGATTCATTTGTAAGGCCCCATTCTTGATTCCTTCGAGACATGAATGTCAGTTAAACATTAGCGGATCATCTTCTTTGCAATTCATCGCCTAAATTGGTCTAAGGAGATAATTTTTGTCCAAAAACATAATAGGATTGTTTGAAACTGACATATTGCACCATTTGTATCTAAATTTGCCAATTGGTATTCTATGTTGAAACGGTTATATATTCTTGTCAATAAAAGTTCTATTTAATCAATTGACCCCACTAAATTTTTATTGTAACTCCGCCATTGCTCAGATGGATCGGGTCGGGTCGTTACATAAGATGGTATTATAAGACTCTTCAAAGTTAAAAAGGAACCATTCACTTCGAGTTTTTTTCTTTTTGGCGTTTATATCACGTTAGTCCATAACGTAACGATTGTCAATTCTATTGAAAATATGTCTCGAGTTTAAGCCCAAAGCAAAAATCTGAATATTCGGAATTGGTATTTTGCGGACGTCCGAAATCGAGCAAAAGGAAATATTGGAAATTTGCTTTCCTAATATGCAAGAGTTGGCAGCAAACAAAAGAAAAGGAAAATAGAATGAATATTTATTCTTTCCTAATTTTAGTGGGAGTCACGGTCTGCCAAAGAAAGAAGAAATAGGAAAGCCCAAACTTGGACTTGTTGACCGCATGGAACTTCTTGTCCAAGCTGGAGTCGGCCACTGCATATTCTTTTCTTGGGGTATATAATATTAATTGTGGTGCTGTGGCGAGGTTCTTGAGGCACAGAAGACCTCTTGTAGCGCCGCTTGTGCGAGTGCTTGGTGCAGAGAGCTTTCTCGTGAATTCTGTCCGGAAGCGCCGTTCTCAACGAGTGCTTGATGCGAGTTTCTCTTCGTGGAATTACATCAACAACTCAAGTGTTCGTAGCGATTAAATCTTGTGTTAAGATTTGTGTACAACTCCTTTGCGAGATTGAGAGATTATTTTGAGAGGAATTGTGGGGCTAAACACTGTGTGAGTTGTTGGGTGTAATTGAGGCTTGGGAAACACTTAGAGTGTTTGAGTGACTCGAGTGTGGTTGTAATCTCCGTTGTATCGCTTGATCTATAGTGGAATTCCGTGCTGCTCTCCCCGTGGACGTAGGTCACTACGACCAAACCACGTAAATCTGGTGTTCGATTTATTTTCTTATTCTGTCAATTTTATTGTTCGATCGCTTGGCTTCCGCAACAAATTCATTGCATGAAGGCGACTCATTCACTAGGGAACAAAACGAGTCATGTTACTACAAATTGCCGTGATATATGGGGCGGGATGGCTTATCAACTTGGTGGGCATGGCTAAGATTTGACTTCAAAGAGCTTCTACTCAAATATCTTCTCCATCGAAGCATCTCCATACAAATTGCAATAAAACCTGTTCATGCTCCTGAAAATTCCTTCTCAGCAACCTTCTTACTTGCTTCAGGTATCCATTGAGATTTCACCTCGAGTACTATGGAGCCTCACAAATTGTCTTCCCTTCAGTTTTCGTCATCATGTCATCTATTTTTCACATGTGTAGTGCTTTTACCATGCACTAGCCTAGTCTCTTCAGCTAATAACAGGACAGACAAGCTCGCGTTACTTGCATTCAAGGCTGCTATAACTGAGGACTCTTTCGGGGCGCTGAATTCATGGAACCATACGACCGACCACTGTTGGTGGTATGGTGTCACATGTGGTCGCCTGCACCGCAGAGTCACGGGACTAGATCTACAAGACTTGAAGCTCTCGGGATCCATCTCCCCTCACATTGGAAATTTGAGCTTCTTGAGAGTCCTGATGCTCAACAACAATAGTTTCCATCACGAAATCCCGCAACAAGTCGGTCATTTGCACAGTTTACGTATCTTGCATTTGTTCAACAACACATTGGAAGGCGAAATCCCGAGAAACTTGTCGGGTTGCGCTCGCCTTACACACCTCCGCCTAGGTCACAATCTGCTGGTCGGAGAAATTCCCGTCGAGCTCGGTTCTTTGCTGGAGCTTCAGTTTCTCGCTTTACGTAGGAACTATCTAACAGGAACTGTTTCTTCATCCATCGGAAACATGTCATCATTAGAGATTCTCAGTCTGGGTTCTAATGAGTTAGGTGGGAAGATACCCCAAGCTCTAGGAAAATTAAATAAGCTCAACTTGCTTGCTTTAGGACTAAATAGGTTATCCGGCACAATTCCTCCATCTGTCTTCAATCTTTCTTCTGTGATGCTGTTCGACATCGGTGAAAACCAAATAGGAGGGAATCTTCCTGCCAATATAGGCTTCACGCTTCCAAACATCGAGATTTTCAGCATTTCCAATAACCAGTTCACTGGAGCGATTCCTCGGTCAATGTCTAATGCAACCACTTTAGAGTTGCTTCTAGCCAGTATGAACAAACTCTCGGGAAACATGCCTCCTTTGGACCGCTTAAACAAGCTCCAAGAATTGGACGTCTCTTCTAATTATATGGAAAGCAGAGGATATGGTGATTTGAGCTTCTTTTGCTCGTTGACTAACACCACCAGCCTACTGCATTTGTTCATGAACAACAACAGGTTTGGTGGAACGTTCCCCGAGTGCATCGGTAATTTCTCCATTACTCTCTCGCAATTGTGGCTGAACAATAATCCACTGTCTGGCACGATTCCTCGAGTAATCGGAAATCTTGTCAACTTAGAAAGGTTGTTTTTGGGCTACAACAGGTTTTCAGGTTCGGTCCCCTTGGTTTTGGGAAATCTTCATAACCTAGTGGAACTGGATTTATCGCATAATAAGTTTTCCGGAGAAATTCCTTCTTCATTAGGAAACCTAGTAAACCTAGCACGACTCCATCTCGATCACAATAACTTTCACGGCCGCATTCCATCATGTCTATCAAAGTGCCAAAGGTTGGTGGAGCTTGATCTTTCTAGTAACAACTTAAATGGAACTATACCTCCAGAGTCCATAGCTCTCTCATCACTTTCTATAAGTCTGAACTTGTCTTGGAACCAACTCGCTGGTGTCCTACCTAAGGAAGTTGGGGAAATGAAGCTTTTGGCTCAATTGGATGTCTCTAGAAACATGTTAGTTGGCGACATTCCGGCCAGTCTTGGCAGTTGTGTTGGATTGGAAGTGCTCAAAATGCAGGAGAACTCTTTCCAAGGCTCCATTCCTTCCTCTATTAGCATGTTGAGGAATGTCAAGGAGCTAGATCTTTCACACAACAATTTATCCGGTCAGATTCCGGAGTTTTTCGAGGCACTTCACTCCTTGGAGATCCTGAATTTGTCGTACAATAACTTTGAAGGCACATTACCGACGAAAGGAATCTTCAATAATGTCAGCGTTACTTTTGTCTCTGGAAATGACAAGCTTTGCGGAGGAATGCCTGAATTTCATCTCCCGAAATGCAGCTCTAGAAACTCAGGCCGAAAACTAACCCTTGAGTGGAAGCTCGCCATCTCGATTTTCTTTGGGGTTCTTGGAATAGCTCTAGTTCTTGCTCTTATGTACTTTGGTTGGTTGAAGAAGAAGAAAAGAACAGAACCAGCTTCAAGTTCCAAAGATGATTCATCACTGAATCTATCTTACGGAATTCTTTTTAAGGCAACCAATGGGTTTTCTTCAAGTAACTTGATCGGGGTTGGTGGCTTTGGATCTGTTTACAAGGCAGTCCTCGGTGAGAATGGAGCTGTCATTGCTGTGAAGGTACTTAATTTGACGCTTCATGGTGCTTTGAAGAGCTTCATAACCGAGTGCGAGGCTTTAAGGAATGTCCGACACCGTAATCTTTTGAAAGTCCTAACAGTATGCTCGGGCACTGATTACAAGGGCAATGAGTTTAAGGCCTTGGTTTATGAGTTCATGGTCAATGGCAGCCTAGAAGATTGGCTACATCCAAGTCCATCATCAGCTGAGTTAGAAGCAAATGCAAAGAAATTGAGTCTCATCCAGCGGATAAATATTTCCAACGATGTTGCTTCAGCATTGGATTATCTCCATAACCACTTGCAAAGCCCTGTTATCCATTGTGATATGAAGCCAAGCAACGTCCTGTTAGACGACAAAATGGCTGGACATGTTGGAGACTTTGGTTTGGCGAAGGTCGTGATTGAATCCACCGATGACACTAAAGCAAAAATGAGCTCTACTGGTGTAAGAGGAACTATTGGCTATGCTGCTCCAGGTGAGTCGCCTCTCCTCTATCCCCTAAAGGAAAACGCACAAATTACATTGGCTAATAATGCAGTAAGTGTTTGCGCGCTATTTCCTTTTACCTCAACCGCTTGTGCTGCTATTATGTATCTTTTATTTACAATTCGAATGAAGTGCAGAATACGGAATGGAAAGCGTGGTTTCAAGAGAAGGCGATGTTTATAGTTATGGCATTCTCTTGCTTGAGATGTTCACGGGCATGAGTCCAACAAGCAAAATGTTCAGAGAAAATTTTAACCTTCACAAGTTCGTTGAGGAAGCCTTGCCTGAACAACTCTTAGAGATTACCGATCCTCCTCTACTTCAAGAACTGGAGAGCCATATGGGCACCGGCCGAGGCAATGCAGCTCGTGAATGTCTGGAGATGGTCTATAGAATTGGGGTTGCCTGCTCAGTCGAAGCACGCAGAGAGCGGACAAACATTGCGAAAGTCGTAGCTCAGCTGCATTTTATTAGGGATAAACTTCATGCAGCTGGTTTACAATGATAGGTAATATATGAAATCAATAGCTTTTCTGCTTTTTATTGTCCCTTGGACGACCAGATCATTGCCATATATGCACCGACAAGCATGCATTCATGTGCCTCCTTGTGTGAATAAACTCAAAAATGCACACATGATTCATCAGTTTTCTGGTTTTGGGTGAATCAAAACGGCATGAATTGGCAACTGAATCACATATATGCACATCACAGAAATAGAGAATTCATCCTATAGAATCATTGTTAGAACTCTAAGGGCAGCATGAGGAAATTCTCGTGATCAAAGCAGTTGACAGGCTAATCATAAACCTCCATCCCTTAAATCTGTTCGGCATATGCATTCGCAGTTGCACCAAATTCAATGGATAGAGGACATTTATGTAGCTTTATTAAGAGTATGCTCAAAACTGTCAGCGTTGGTGAAAAAATGAATCTACATGTCTCTTCCAGGTTATATGAACTCAGGAGTGCTTGGAGTCGGTTTCAGCAATTCCAGTAGAATCTTTTCTTCTCCCATGCTTAGCACTAGAAAAAAGGGGATGCGTGCTATGTTAGTATAGTAGATTTAGGGAAGGCAACGGTTCTCCGATATCGGCCACGGCTCAAAATGAGAACTCAATCTCGTCTTTTATTCAATAAAACTCGGGTTTTGGCTCAATTGCTGCAAGAACTGCAAGTAACTCTTTTAATTTGATGACGGCTCGATGCATTCCTTCTTTTGCAAACCTTTTCATGTACGCGTCATCCGTGGGGTAGAGCAGGAATTTGAGAAGCAAATCAAATAATCCTATCTGGCTGTCGAAATTGCATCTCTCTTGCATGGGCAGGATTTCGATATTGCAGCTACTGTGAACAATTTGTCCGAGCAGACCAACTACTTTGTTACATGTAATGCAAGTTCCAAACTGTTCTTGTGAACGCAGAATCAGAGCGAGCTCTTAAGTGAGCTGTGAAGTGCCTCTATTGAGATTGTTATAACTCTCTCGGCCGTTGGTGTGGCAATAATTAAAAGTTTTTAATTAAGTGCATTGTCTTTTCATTAGACATTTTTCAGTAAAAATTTCCTTTTGCCGTCTGAAAACAACTTATTTTAATGCAAAAGATAAAAATTTGAGAAAACTTAGTGGATTTTTTACTTGTGTTTTATTCTATACGACCTCAAATTAATTATCGTTGATCCTATTATAATCTGTTATTGGCACGGTTTACACAAAACATGTTCAGACCAAAAAAAAGTTAGATGTTGATAATTGGACATGGAAAAATATCAACTGAATTACCGGCCTTAAGGTAAAAAATCTGAACTCATTTCAGAATATTTCAAGAGACTACCAAAAACATTGAATACATTGGCGTTCCAACTTCCAATCTAATATCTGACCAAAAAAAAAAAACTTCCAATCTAATAAAGACATACATCAAGATTGACATTCAAGTGCATCCTGAGAGACTAAAAGATAGGAGATTGAACAACTAAGGCAACCTGGGACTTTTTATGATGCAGGGGTAGCTTTCCGTTTCTTCGGCATGCGATAGCCACCGACGACACAAGCATGGTCTCGCTCAAAGGGCTTGAGAGTAACTTGCTCAAAAGGCTTGAACTGATCCGCCTGCAGCTTCTTCACTTCCTGGGAAAATACTATCTTGGCAGGAACAGTAGAATCGATACAGTTTGCCTGCAAAAACAAGCACAACCAAAAGGAATTGATACCCATCTCTTCTCGTTGAAGCAACATTTCTAGTGTTTCTTTTTTTCAAGAGGATTGGTTTTCACCCTCCCTCGGATATGATGAGAACATTTCTGATGTCGTAGTTTATCTCCTAGGCTTGCAAGAACTTGCACCAGCTACTTGTCTTACTTGTGAAGGAATTATAAAGTGATAAGGAAAAATAGAAGTGTGACCAACAGTCCTCTAATCCAACAAGCCACATGTCAAGAAAAATAATAAAGAAAAACCAAGTGCGCATCTGTCCACAGAGAGAGAGAGAGAGAGAGAGAGAGAGAGAGAGAGAGAGAGAGAGAGAGAGAGAGAGAGAGAGAGAGATACCTTAATTGAGATGACAAAGTGACCTCCAGCCTTGAGAAAATATGATGCACTTAGAGCCAAAATTCTTGCCTGAGATGTAACCACATATCATTGAACATCACATGTTAACGAGAGACATCTTCTAGCAAAGCACTCTAAACAGGTAGAAAAGTTATCCAAATAACAGATTAAAGACCTTGCATTTCTCTCCCTCTGACGTATAATGAACACACTTCATTACACACAGCTTAAGTCTAGTGTAAGGAGTGCTTGGACAAGTCATGCAAGTTTTTTCATAGTCAGTATTCAATTGATAAACAGTCAAATGCAGAGAGACTTTCACGAGTATTATCACAGCAACTTTTATCATATGTACAATCAAAAAGACCATTCAGGTGATCAGAAAGACATATCAAGTGCATCCAACACCACTTCATAATAAGTCAAGTTGTTGCACACACTAGATCAAAAATAATAACAAGAGCACGTTCAATCTGACAAGACATGCGAATTTATAATTTAGCATATGCTTGAGTAATTATTAAATTAAGATCCCCTAGCCCAAAGCCGTAAAGACAACATAATGTACACGACCATATGCTATAATCTGGAGGGCAGGTTAACCTTATCGACAAAGTTTGAAATGGTAACCTAAATCAGCAATTGGTCATAAGGACAATTACATGAATAAGGACCTAACCAGACTAAAAAATTTGAGAAGCCGCACATTGTAGTCGCGGATAGTAACACTAAATTGTCATGCACACTAGTTGAACAAACCTGATTTTCATAAATCCTTAAGCTTCATACAACAGAAACAATTTGAAAGGCTACAAACCATGCATCAGAAACTCGAAAATGCATCACCCAAACTGTCTTGAAGGGGAATCCGAATATTTCATCAAATGCTTTGTACTAATCGAGTACAGGGAATAGTCATGGAGTTTGCCGGGCTGAGGGCATGTGATAAACTTATCTTTAAGGAAAAGGAAAGGAAAAAAAGATTCAACTATACTCTCAAATCTCTCGAAGTAAATCAAATCAGAACTAAAGAAAACAAAAAAAATTATGGAGCGAACCAAGCAGATATGCATCAGAAAACTCGAGCTTGCATCACCCGTGCTGTCTTGAAGGGGAATCCGAGTAAATTCTTTGTTGAAGCAAACGCGGAAAAGCAAACACAGAACACGAGGATTTACGTGGTTCGATCACAATGTGATCTACGTCCACGGGCGAGGCAAGACAAGATTCTACTATAATCAAAGAGAGTACAGTTTTCAGAAGTCGAAACAACGACAAAAGCTCACGGCTTACAAAACTCTCTGAAAATAAAATTCTCTCTCACTACTTCAATGAGAAAACCTAGCCGCAGTATAAATAGTGCTCCCGAAATTGTCGGGTCGCACAAAAATATGTCGGGTCGGGTGTTGAACCGGACCGAGAACATAAAATTCAAGACATATTTAACATTCTTCATGTGCAAAAGTTTCCTTCTTGGTGAAAACAAAAGACACAATACAGTTCTGGGGCAAATATGTATAAGAAAACTGCAGTTACAGGATATATAGATATATATAAGAAAAGGTAAATCACAAAACCAAGAAGTTAATCCCCAAAAAACAAGTCATCCCGTCCATACAAATTTAAGCCCCACAGATACACGAGGGAAACAAAAATCCATGGCATGAATATGAAGCCTACAAAGATGAAACTAATCATGAAAATATCACAAATAAAAATGAAGGCTGCAAAGAAGCATTGATTTTTTTTATCAGAAATAAAAAGTTGACAATTCATGGAATCTGCTTCCAAAGGAGCAAAAGGTAAAAATTCTCCATTTTCATAAAAGAAGGAAAATCTAAACAGAGAAATAATTTGCTACGAGCATCTAACAAAACCATGCAGTAAGTCAAACAGAAATAGAGGCGGGATGCATTATATAGGATTTCCTTTTCCGTGGTCCAGAGGCAAGATTAAGTCCTGGACCTACACTTTGGCAAGGAAGACCTTCATAAGAATTTATTCAATTTCTTTCATAGGCAAAGACGAGATAATACCTGATCTGGCTGAGCAATATCTGAAAATATTACATCCACCATTCCGACCAACATACGGTACTTGGCTGGATGTCTAGCATCTTCGATAATAGGAATAACATTTGTTCTCTTCTTAGCCATGTTGACTAAGTCCCTTCCACTGTGATGTGAAAACTCGACTGCATACACCACTCCTGTCTGCCAAAAGGAACACATGACAATAAGTGAGTCGTCTGATGAAGTCATTTGGTAAAAGAATCGTTCTTCCAAAACAAACGGACCTACAGGGCCAACAATGTCGGAAACATGAGATACTGTGGTCCCAGAAGCAGCTCCCGGATAGAGAACTCAGAGCACCAGGTTTCTGAATTTGAAAATAATGAAACATGATCAGTGATATGGAAGAAGCTACGCATCTATAATACACTAGAGAAAAAGGAAGAGAGATACTCACAATCCATATCTCATCTGATATATTTCGTCAGTCCGCCCATGATGTGTGTGTTCAAGGGACACCATTTGCTCTAATAAGAAGTATGTCTGAGAGATACCTTTTGAAGAGGTGCGAGGAGAGTTTCTTAAGGGAAGTTAAGATAACTTCCTCGGTGGATGAACAATTGACAAGAGATTAATTAGAACTCTCTCTCTCTCTTGACGTATAAGGATTCCGTATCTATTTAGAGAAGACAATCGGTATTAACACTGTGGAACAAGAATACTTTCATTGTGAATGTATTCGGACCAACATGAAGAAGATTTATTCATCGTTTGCTGGTGATTCAACGTACGATCCTGGAAATTTTGTTGTTAGTGCATCGAATAGGTTAGTCGATTCTCCCGACACACGCTTCCAATTGGTATCTGAGCCTCGGTTATGATCTCTGTCTTGTTTTGTCACGCCCCGAACCCTACGAAGCGCGAACATCCCACTCAAAGGTCGATTATGGTGCGACGTCCCAGGAAGCGTCGCCGACCCAACACCCAATCAGAGATCAAGCACACACGGAAATCACGTATATAATTATATATATATACACCCGTACAAAAGAAAACACATGAGACCAAGGTAGAACAACCATCAAAACAAGAACATACATTCCATTACCGATGAAAGCCTTTTTACAATATTCGCTTATACACTGCAACAAGCAAACGAACAGTCAGCAGCCACAAGTCAAAAAGGGTCAGTGGCTAGGGGTACTGGATGGAGCTAAAACGGGTTTCAGTCAAAAGGGTGCAACCCGCTCTGCCTAAGACTAGGGCCAACCTAAGGAGTCCAGTCCGGATCGGACTCTGATGATTCTTCTGACGAGCTCTCCTGAGACTCGAACTTCTCAGCTCCTATTTCTTGATCGGATCCCAGCTCCGCAACCTCTCCATCAAGCTCCTGATCTACTTCCATGGCTATCGGCTCTTCCTTGTCCTTATGGTCCAAGGGTTCCGGATCAGCATACAATACTTCCGGCTCGTCATCCTCTTCGACCATGGCAACAGGTCCATCCACGGTCTCGCCCTGGCTGCTCCAATCAGGTGAGGTTGGAGGATCGGAGATCTCACCGCTTACCATCTGCGGAATCATGACGCCATTCACATCCACCGGGACGTCGAAGGTTCTGAGCGGGGGTCCAGTTACTCCGTCGGTTCCTCTATAGCACCAAGCCACATATTCTTGGGTATGGTAGTGCGACTCTCCCACATTCACAAACAAAACAGCATAATATCTCACATAGGCTATGTTGAGGAAAACTCCTATTGATTTTGAAGTTGACAAAACCTTCTATGTTATTATAAATCTGATACTTATTCTGAACTAATTTATTCCAAATCTATATATTCTGGAAACTCAGAAGAAAGTTATTCAGACTTTACAATCTATCAAGTATGTTTTTGAAGACCCACATAATCGAAGTTCTGAAATTCAAACGCAGAAGTTATTCAGATGCAAATGCAGAAGCAGAAGTTATTTAGATGCAGATGCAGACGAAGAAATTATTCAGACGCAGACGCAGAAGCTCTTCAGATGCAGACGCAGAATTTCTTCAGACGCAGAATTCAGAACGTAACACAACAGCTAGTGATCTGGCATGGATTTCACAGAAGGAATGTTCCGATTGTCTCAATCTCAATCAAATTGATTGTCAATCAAACATCACGACAGGAATGCATTACAACGGACAAAGCTCTACTTATGGAAACCAAGATTCTGATTGTATGGGCGACCAGAATCAGCGTGATTCAGAATCTGTTATCCAACGGCTACTCAATCCTTTCTATACAAATCTGTCCAAGGTGAAGATTGGAAGATGATCCTCTGAAAGCTGTCCAACGGCTAGTTTGGAAGTAGAGGAGTATTTAAGGAGATCAACGAGCAACAGAAGGAAATATAGAATCAAGAATCAACAAGTCCAAAGTCTGAGCATACTCCAATCATTTCTCTTGTCGTTCTGAGCAAAACATTAAGATCTTGAGGGATACTTTGTAAGAGTGATTGTGTGAGATAGAGAGTCCTATCATACACAAGAGTGTTAACACTCAGAAGTTGTAATTCCTCTTGATTACATAGTGAAATCCAGCCGGTAGGCTGTAAGCGTGGGAGAGTGGATATAGGCTTGCTATAAGCCGAACCACTATAAACTTGTGTGCAGATTCTCTATCCCTTATCTCTTACTTTACATTATGCACATCAAGAGCACCGTCTTTATAATCTGTCTTGAATCTGAATTTTATTCAGACTCTTCTGTGATTTATTTTGTTTTCACATAAATTACTAAAAATTGTTTTAGATCACCTATTCACCCCCCTCTAGGTGATCCTTGCTAGCTACATCAGGCTACTCCATTTTCACAGGGGTGCACGCTCGACGACCGCTGAATAGTATGCGGTATCCCAAAAAGAGGTGGTGCCCTCGGCATTCTACGGTTGGGGGTCTGAAAAGTTTCGGTTTACACAACCGTGAGACGAATCTCAGCGAGTATAACCCCCTAAACCTAGGTTAGGCTAACATGCAATCTCCTGACAGGGAAAACAATCACACACACTCACAAACAACAATAATGGCCCAGGCCCTCGGGCCCAGGTTGGCCACATTCTTGACCCTGCAGGTTAAGCATTTTATATAATCAAAATAATCGTGGCACAGGCGCAATCATACTCAATTCACACGTGCGCCAAACGCATGCTCATACTCAATAGTGATAATAACACGTGCCAATCACCGAGTCCCGCATACTCGCATACCGGCCCATGCATTCTTATGCATGCAATGCTATCGTCACGCCACACTCATGCCTCGGCTCACTAGCCCACACTGGCACCCTGGCACTTGCTCAATTTATTATATGTTACGACCCGCGTAAAACGCATCGGGTCTCTTCATTTAATCACAACACTCCGTGGCCCGCGTTAAAACGCATCAACTGGCCCAGTGTCTCTAGCCCGCGTCAGAACGCATCAGGCGCAACACCGATCTCCTCACGAACCAGAGCCCGCGTTAAACGCATCAGGTTGGTCGTCTTCCGGACGTACCGGGCATCATCCCGCGTAAAACGCCTCAGGACGGCACACCCCGCGTAACACGCATCAGGGCGAAATTGTGATCACACATACACACAATCAATTATTATCTGAACCCCGCGTAAAACGCATCAGGGCATAATTAGGTGATCACATGCTCATGGCAGGCACGCATTCTCGCACAATTTCATCACACGCCTCATTCTCGGCATTCACAATGCGTGCCATGAAATGCAACATAATGCCACATGAGCATCAAACACAACTCAAATATCCATTCAAATTCACGCCATAACAATTACTCACTTGGCCAGTTAATACCGTGCGGCCCAATTTCACAATGCGTAATTCAGTAACCATTCAACCCATCATATGGCCAATTACATTCCGCACGAGTCGGCCACTCAGTCACGCGACATGGCATTATTCAATTTCCCAACAATTGGATACAGAAATCAACCAGTCATTCAGCCCGGGCATACCCGGCAGTCCAATCACATAATCTCCAACTAATCCGTACTAGTCCAATAATTATCTCCAATAATCCCACTAAATTCCTTGGATTTATTTCCACCCACCGGTCCTCAATCCTATCCTAAGTATACATCGACAATATCTAAGTCAGTCCAGAAAATGCATTATCAGTCCTAATCCGGGTTTAGGAAATATACTCACTTAATTTCTAGATCGCGACAACGCGAAACGAGCGGCCGATTGCCGGTGAACGGCGAAATCAGTGGCGGCGTTTCGAAGGCGGCGACGGCGACGGTTCACGGCGGTCGGCGTACGGATGACGGTACGGCCGGCGACTGTACGGACACCCCCGTACGGACACCTGTACGGACGACGGGGGACGGTGGCCGGCGAGGTGGCGGTGGCTGGCGCGGCGGCCGTACGGACGGCGGTACGGCCAGCGACTGTACGGACGTACGAACACCCCCCGTACGGACACCTGTACGGACGACGGGGACGGTGGCCGGCGAGGTGGCGGTGGCTGGCGCGGCGGCCGTACGGACGATGTACGGATGGCGGAGAGAGAGCGAGAAAGAGTGGAACGAGGTGAGGGTGGTGAGGTGAGGTCAGGCGGAGCAGCGGCACCAGCGGACGGCGGCCGGCGTGGCTCCGGCGAGCTCCGACGAACGGCGAGGAAAACCGACGGAGGAGGAGGAAAACGGGAGAGGGGGAGCTGTTCTGGGGTGGCTGCTGGCCGAATGGGGCTGGGAGGAGAGAGAGAGAGAGTTAGCTGGTCAAAAATAGGGGCTAAGGGGGCGCCACGTGTCGCGATCCTAGACGATTTGACCAAAATACCCTTGATCCAACGGTTCTAAAGAGATAGGATCAAATAATTGAGGGGTAATATAGTCTTTGGCCCCTAATAATGCAGCTGATAATTATCCATAATTATCCCAAATTATTTACCAAAAATTGGATCCAAAAATAGCCCAGGGGCAAAATGGTCATTTTTCCGGTCCCGGGGCGAAATTCCAATTTTTATCTCTATCAACTCCAAATGAGTGTGGCCAACATAATGTGGTGTCGGAATCGTGAAATTCATCGCGCAAGCCCTCGAAAATCCGCGTCGAAGTTTGAATGGCAAAATCGTCAATTTTTCCAATTTTTGTCGAAATTCCAATTTGTGGCCATAACGACTCCTGGTATGCGTGGCCACCCTAAAATGGCGTCGGCCTCGAAAAATAACCTCATTTGACCTCAAAAAGCGACGGTGGTGTCCCGAAGGGTAAAATCGTAATTTTTTCACCCCCGGACCGAAATTCCAATTTTCACTCGTACTAACTGCAAACATGTGTGGCCAGCGTAATATGATGTCAGAATCGTGAAAATAGTCGTGCA